ATGTAAAGTCGTTAAAGTAACGGGGGTTATTCCGAGAATCGAAGTCACTAGTGAAGTGAGAAAAGTTACGTCGTGGTGACGTAACTCTCCATTTGATTTGCACAGAGAGTCACGTCACCACGACGTGACTTATCTCACTTCACTAGTGACAACATAAAATAACTTTCTAGGACATACAATTCAGTATGATCTTTACACTTATCAATCCCGACAAGTGTCATACGCTTGAAGAACTTATCAGAGAAACTACATTTAACCAGGGTCAGTTCCGCACAATCAATCTAGTAATTTATCACTTACTATCCACTACTTAGTATAACAAATTCACTGCGTTTCGAAGACACTTAGTATTGAAATTCACCGAAAATTTACGAGATTTTCGGTTTCACTACCGATCTAACTACTAGCTTCTTTAGGAATACAATTAATCAATTCTTCTCTTTACAGTTCAAAAAATGTCAATGGGTATAAAGTTTAACACATTATAATAGGCCGAACCCGAACGCATTTTGGCATGTTTGTTGGAGGTGTCCAATAGCAATCCGGTTCCGGTCGGCTGGTTTATAGTTTGGACAATAGGTCACGGGTCTCCTGTTTTATCACTGTAAATCTAAAAATCACTCACTGTTAATCTAAAATGCTCACGCTAAATAATAACGCAAATGCTTTTTTTACATGTATTATTATGAGTTACATTATTACAAGAATTTACATTTTTAACAACATTGTTTAACCCATCAAGAGTATTTCGCAAATATTTTTAGGTAAACTACATTTACCGTGACAAAATCCAAATCTCGTGACCTGTTTTCCGAACTGTAAACCAGCCTTAAGATGTATGTAATCGTTCGGAGCTCGTTGGATATCTACGAAGCTCTCGACACCTCTCCGAAGTCTGAAGTTCACAGATCCTCACTTATACAATTTTAAAATCTTTGAAGTTCGCCGAACCTATATTTAGTCGTCGACCTTCTCAGAACTCGTCAAGCTCACATCTTTTCATCGGCTTCATAAGTTCTCTGAGAAGTTTCAGAAAAGTTTATTTAAAAAAAAAAAAACACCTAAATTGACGCTTAGGAGAACTAAATTGACTTCTTAGGAGATGTTTAAGAATTTCAGAAAGATTCTTCGGAGATGTTGATGGCAAGCAGCGTTGCCAGTATTCCAGATTTATCTGGATTTTTCAGATTTTTAGTCGTCTTTCCAGATACACAGACAAACCACGTATGTTTCCAGATTTTTTAAATATGTTCCAGATTTTTTTTACCAATTGCTTTAAAAATATCACTGCAATTGATTTACCATCTAATCAAAAAAAAAAGGCCAAACTTGCTACCTTAATTATTAACGTTGGACATTATTGGAATTTTAAGGTTATTCTGAAAATAGTTCACAGTGACGTGTAAGGTGAATTCCTTGTGAAATCGAACGAGAATTTCAAGCTAATTCTGAGTAGAGTTCCATCCATCTTTGTGGGCTTCGTGGTCGTGCGACTTCACCCGTCGTTCAGGCGTATTGTGAGTGCCACGAAGTGAGGGTTCGAGTCCCGCTCTAACCGGTGCAAATTTTGACTACCTGAAAATTTCCCTACTGGGCTACTGGATGTGGTGTGTTGTCTGTTGTCTAGTGTTAAATAATCAGTCTGTGCAACCTCTGGATGAAGACGGTGTCAATTGTCTTGTCAACGCTGATGACAATTGCAGGGAGATTTTGTGAATAAAGGAAACACAATCCGGAAGAGAAATCATAGAAAATACTTATGATGAAACTTAAGGAGATACGAATCGTAAGAATAATTTCAATTGAATTCTGTCCAATGTTTCTATGGAAATTAATGTTAAGACATTTCAACGGTATTATGCGCAATTTCTGGGAAGCATTCAAAACCATTTTGGCAAAGTACTTGAATAATTAGGAAATACTGAAGAAGATTTCAAAACAATTTTTACCTACAAAGCAGTCTAAAGGGAATTATCTGATGAGTCTGAGAAGAGCGTGACGGTTATTCTGAAGAGTGTACTAAGGAAATTATTATGAATTTTTTTTCCAGAATTTCATTGAGAAAAATGGGCACAAATATGTGCCAATTTTTAGGAATTATTACCAGTTTGAGGGAATTTTGGAGTGGAGTTACCCGTAGTTTAGGTAAACTTGTGTGAGTGCCACGATGTTAGACTTTGATTGCCTCTTGGCCTACTGATCTACTGGGTTTTGTGTGTTGTATGATATCAAGAATTAAATTGTAGATCTGATCAACCTCAGGGTAATATAAGAATTATTTAGAACTAATAAAATCTTTAAATTATGTTACTGCATCAAATAGTAAGGACTACATCGATTATTAGTTTAAAAAATCCATCCCATCAAGTTTGCTTGATTCTTTGCTTCTCATTCTTTAAAAAAAAAAAGTTACAGTTAAAAACAACTCTAAACATATTTTCTGCAGCGTTTTGCCCACATTTGACTCCATTTTTGAAATACTGCGTAATGGAAATTTAAACTTTTTGGGCTCACTGTGGCAATACTTTTGAACTTTTGAACGATTTCAGCAATGCTAACAAGATATTTGCTTTATATAAATTATTTAAACATGTATTTCATTACCATTCTAGTACTTTAAATAAATTCCAGATGATCATACTGACCGATTTTTACGGGAGATTGGCCCATCACTTTGATTTCAATAGCATTATATTAAAAACTGAATTTTTTTGAAGCATTCCAGATTTTTCCAGATTTTTCTGAAAATGACCTGGCAACGCTGATGGCAAGCGCATGTTCAGACAAGGTCAAATAAAACACAGAGTAGATTAGGTTTATTGAAAAGAGTTTAGGAAATCTTGATAATGCTTTTTGGAAACCTTTATTAAGGCTAAGAAACCTCAGAGAAATTCTAGGAAATTTAGAGAACCTCAGCAGAGTTCAGGATGCTTTAGAGTTGCTCAAAGAACCTCAGAAAAGCTTTGAAACATAAAAGTAGTTCATAAAATTTAAAATAAATCTCAAGGCAGCATGGGCTCTTCGTGGAAGTTCGGGAAAATCTGGAGAAGTACAAGAAAGATGCAGGGAGGTTCACAGAACATCCAAAAATGTCACATTGAGATATTTATCATTTAAATTTGCTAACTAAGAACAAGAAGTATACCAAACTCTCACTCTCATTTATGTATATTAAGTACTTTACAAAAAAAAGCCAACTGTATTACCTGACCTATAACGTATATACGTTGGTCCGCGGGCGTCGTATGCTAGTGGGGGGGGGGGGTGAAAATGGAGTACAAACCCTCTGAAAACCCGTTTTACCATAACTTTTTTGATTGAATTTTACAATTTTTTCAATGTTCTACAAAGTTGTATGAGCACAATTAATAGAGGGATCCAAGGGAATGCCTAATGAATTTTCTAATAAAGTACCTTAACGTTAGTTACGTTTTGCTGTTTTCATGACCATTTGTCCAAGTATTTACATTAAGGTGGGTTCCCCATTGCTCTTTCAATACTTATTCAGGTCCTCAACAATTGGGGAAAATTTTATCAAATTTGGTTATAATCTCGATTTGCGGGAGAATTTAAAATTTTGTTTGGGAAAATGTATGGGAAACGGAACGAACCTATTCATTTGCTTGCCACAGATCCAAGTATTGCTCAAATTTCACCAAAACTCCGACTTAGATTGAGAATACTATACTAAACAACTTTGTCGAAGCTGCAACGCACCCAAATGTTCCTAATTGGAAAAAATGGTCATGAAAATAGCAAAATGTAACAATACATTGAGGTACTTTATTAGAAAATTCATTTGACATGCCCTTGGATCCCCCTATGAATTGTATATGTAACAGTAGGGTATAAGTTGCTGAACTAATTTACGTTGAGTTTAGCTGCTAATACCTGCTAACATGCAAGATAAGACCCCCTTAAAAATAGTGTTGAAAAATTATAAATATGGATGTAAATCCTTTAAACAAAGGGATAGCGATATGCTTTGTATAGTAAAAATATGCATTTTAAGAGCACTTACAACTTTGTAGAAGATTATTAAAATTGGAAAACTCAAACAAAAAAGTTTTACTAAAAAACGAGTTTTGAGGGGGTACTTCCGTTTGTACTCCATTATCACCCTATAACGTCGTCCAGTTGAGAGATAAAAAAATGTCATGTTGGACAAAGTTTCTTAAAATGATGTCATCTACAATGTTTTCATAGATGTTCATCATCAGCAAGACATAAAAAGTTATTTTTTTTTATCTTAGTGTATACCCTCCTTAAGTAAAAAAGTACTCAAAAATTGAAGAAACATTCTAGAAGGCATCGAAATGCTACATTCTATAGTTTTGCCGCAATGGCAAAAACCTTAAAACATATATTTTAAATTCGATAGAAGCAAGCAGAGTTGTTAGGTCATTATGTACCCATGCAGCAAATAGTGGATCGTTTATACCTCTAACGCATACTTTGAAAATTCATACATAATCTGAATGCGAAACCATGAGATCACGATTTATAACATTTTAACTGTGACTATGACAAACTTGTTTCAAACGCATAAGATCTTGTTACCTGCTAATTCCCCAAAGTTCTTTGGAACTTCTCCTGGAAGTAACTCTAAATTCGACGCATAGTTACACCATCATCTACCTTCCAATGTTCACCCGATATCCCAAGTTCTCCTGAAAGTCCTGAGCATATATCGAAACAATGCAATCTAATGTTTTCGGAGGTTTCAACCTAAACAAAACATTAGTCTTTATCAGATTCTTTTTCTTCACTTGCAGTTCTGTGTTTGTTTATTTTTGTTTTCGTTTCGTGTTTCCGTTTTCAATTACTCCCTTCAGTTGAATCTTAGATTAATGTACAATTACAGTCCCAACAGTTTTTGCTTCCAACGTGGAAAGCAACCTGTTCAATTGTAAATCCATATCAGGAGCAAAAAAACTTGCGATCACGAAAACTGCAACTCTTTTTATTTCTTCATCCTGTTATCCTTCCACCTTCTTTAGGAACATTTGCGGCCTGCACCGCCGACTGCTGGATGGTAGCACCCGTCAATTACCCACACTAACCCCCGTAGCACCAACAGCAACAGCAGCTTCGGCGGCATGCGGTGGAGGTAGCACGTCGTTGCCGCAAACGGCTTCCATCAGTCCTCAGTCGGCATCTTCGTCGGCTGTGGCTGTGACTGTGACCGGCATCGGCATAGACCTAGAACGAACCAACGAAAATCAGTGTTCGCCGTTTTGTGATCAAGCTATCGGTGCTAACTTCGGAATAACTAGCAATGGCCTTGGTGGCGGCACTAACTCTACTACTGCTACTACTACTACTAACATCAGCATCGGTGGTGGCGGAAGTTCATCCACACTCGGCATCACCACACCCTCGTCACTAGCTCTAAGACGCCCCAGTGCTAACATGTTGGTCCCTTAAACTCTATCTCTATATCTCTCTATCTGTCACCTTGTAACTCTTTTGCCCGTTATCCCTGGTAGTATTCTGATGTATGTAGTCGCCATCTGCCAATCCCACTCGAAATTGATACGATTACAGTGATTGAAACATTGTTTTTCATGAGAGACCAACCTTAGCATGGCTTTAACCTGTAGATACTGTGCATGTACATATGTGTAATATAAAGTTTGTATCATAGCACATCCCGCAATTGATCACCATTTCTACCATTCTCCTTTTGTTTTGTCTTTATTCAATAAGTACGTTATCAAAACGTAGCATTATCTTAGTGTTCGTGTTTCCCAACAGAACTTTGCAAATACGAAAATTTCTTACACGTTTCCACTATTTCTCCTCACGTCGTATATCATAATTCGGAACCGGACAGAAATCCCAGTTCTAGTTCTATCCCAATGAGTGAAACGGGTTCGCTGGATCGGATGAAGTCGGCGGCGGAACGGCGGAAGAAGGGAGCCATGGACAGCGACAGCGGAGCGATGCCTACCGTCTCGGGACGGGTGGAAGGAACCCGAGTGAACACCGGGCTGATCATCGATGAACTGTTGAAAAACACTAAACTGGATCACCTGGAGGAGTCGGGAAGTGAGTATTAAGCATAACATAATGAAGCAATCTAAAATTTTCAAAAAATCTTTGTGCACTTTTATTTTAATGAGGCATATTTCCAGGACGCAGAAACATATATCGTTTTCGTTTTTGCGGTGTATCTACACCGGTGCTACATTACCGTACACCAACATTATTTAGGATGTAGAAGTCGCCCAGACAATCAGAATGCACGTACAGGGTGTCCACCCAACCGGGAAAACGGGGAAATCCGTGAAAAATCCGGGAATTTGGAATTACCGGGAAAAATGAACAGGGTGTTCATCCAACCGGGAATTCGGATTTGCCGGGAAAAATGCGGGAAAACCCGAATAGCACCGGGAAAGATAATATATACTCATCCTAAGTAACAATTTTGGTTTTATCATAGTCTTGTAGGCTATAATTTGGTCTTCAAGAATATATCTAGCTATCTATATCTAGCTAGCTATGTAACTAGCAATTTTACATGGAATCAATCAATTTTATATCATATACATCATTATATTAATTTGTTTACACTTCTATTTACAATTTTCATATTATGCTTTCACTGTGGTAAAGTATCAAAATTCATCAAAATTACAAAACAAATCTATTATTTTCACGCGCGGTTCACCAAAATCATTAGCTGATTGGTCCAGAGATAAATTAAAAATAATTTCTGCACTTTGTGCACAAGATTAGTCAGGATAACGTAGAGTACCTTGGTTAGCCTGTAAAACATAAAGATCTGAATCCATACCTCTCACGCCGAAGTCAATGTACTTGATTATCTTAGAGATAAATCATCCAGCTCAAACCTAGGCGTAATCATCATTATCATGAGCTTAAATCTAACCGGGATAATCACGAATGATCCATGAGTGTTAAAGTTACTATTATTTATAGTACAATATATAATACGATCTGAACTCTATGAATTTTGGAAAATCTAATATTCCAAACCACTCAAGCAACATTTCCGATTTCAATGTGGTCTTCAAGTCCATTCTAAGCCTATAAGGCCTCTCCAATACCATGATAAAACCAAAATTGTTACTTGGGCAATTATATTATGGGTCTTCACGAAGGTTTACCCGTTCTATCATTAAGTCGAATCATCGTATACCTTGCTAAGTCAGCAGAACTTCAAGAACAGATATCCGGGATGATTTGCATAATCCAACAATGTTTTTTAAACAAAATGGATAATCTTAAATGATATTTCGAAGGCAGACTCAAAATGCTCAAAAGTGGAAATCGAACAAGATTTGTATTAACCTGTAAAATATCTCCAATACAATTTCAATATTTTGGTAGCACAACTTTGTATCCCACAAAATGTTTTATGGCATATAGAACTTCAAGATCTAAACTCCTGGAAGATTTTAAGAACTTTTAATACTGCGCATTGATGTATGATTTTTTTCAGCATACCAAAACAACACTAGGCTCAATTTTTGCAGAGACCCTTTGATTTTATAAGAATTCATGATTTCATGAGATTTTGGAGATCTAGATCAACAACATATTGATGCAAATCTCATCTCATTTTTTTTCTACAAAATTGACGTATTGTAGAGCAATTCTGCTGAAAATATACAGTTATTTTTGAATGCCGTTAGCTCAAGGCAGCGGTGTTTTTTTTTTAATATCCGGGAAAAAACCGGGAATTAAAAAATTGGATTTGAATGGACATCGTGAATGAGAGAAAAACCCAAATAACACCGGGAAAGATCATATATACTCATCCCAAGCAACAATTTTGATTTTATATTAGTCTTGTAGGCCATAATTTGGTCTTGAAAAATCCTTTAAACCTTTAAACTTGTAATGTTACTTGGAATCAACTTTATAGCACATACACCATTATATTCTCTTGCTTACAACTTCCATATTTATCTTTTCTCTCACTCACAATCTGTTCGCGCACGGATCAAGCGGTGATTTGTCGTTGTTCCTACTATGATAGCTAAATTTATAGAATTTCATATGGTGTCATTGCTAGATAGAGCTGGAATTAAGGCCTAACAGCTTTTGTAAACAATGACTTCTCTCGATGATTTCTAGAAACTCAAGGCTCGCCCAATCAAATCAATATCACCATCAGGTATGGGAAGTCTTCCCCTATCCGATGATTATAATCGTCTGCGTGGGCGTGCCTTGAGTTTCTAGAAATCATCGATAGAAGTCATTCTTTACAAAAGCTGTTAGGCCCTAATTCCAGCTCTATCTAGATTGGAATGCATATGGTGTCATATGATGCCATTGCTTGAATTCTTTTGCTACAGTTTTCCGAGTGAAGTAGTTCTAGTATAAAGCTAAGGTAAAGTTACAAAGCTACCTCAAGATAGAGAAGCAGATTCATGCCAGCTCAAACTCCTTGGAAACTCCGATCATTTTTTTTTCCTTTGTTCGGGACCTAACACCACTGCGACCAGTAATTTGATCTATTGTAGTATATCCCGTGTCCTTAGTTTAGTGCATGTCGTATTACTCCATCACTATTGAGAAATGATGAAGCATTCGATTTTTTTACAGTTGTCATTCTTGCATTTATCGCAAGGATCCGACTCTAATTGAAAGGTGCCGCTATTTATACCCTTCGGAGTGTTGAAACACCCTCCAAAGGCGCACCCCTTTGTCAGTTATAATTGGATTCCTTAGCAACAAAATTAAGGAATGACAACGATGATGACCATGCATCAAAACCCTAGTCTTAACCACTTCAAACTAGGGAACAGCGAATAGAAGATTAGGAATCACATAGATTTGACAAACTAACTCATTTTTTCCTTGTTACAAGATAATCCTCGGTGGACAAAGCCGAGTCTTATCACTATCAACAAGGCATAAAAAGTAACAAGGACTAAGATGTGTTGCTTGGATTACTGAAAAATCCTGTTCCCCTAGTTTGAAGTAGTCAGGACTAGGAATCGGTGGTAGATCTTACATCCCGTAACGTACCACGAAAAGGTGATTTACCCACGTTACGGGGCAACTCCGATCATGCTTGACATGCAAATGTTTGACACCGGACATAATCAACGAAATAAATGTCATGAGATGATTAGTCTAGAGATAAATTAAACATTAATTTCTGCACTTTGTGCTAACCAGATACCAAGATTAGGACATACCGAGGTTAGCCTGTTTAACAATCAGATCTCTCACTCCAAAATCATGAGTTCAAATCTCACCCAGATAAAGCACGAATGATCCGATAGTGTGACAATTACTATAAATAAAAAAATACCTTTATTGAAATTTTGCTACGCATTCTCAAATCATTCTCTTGGAATCGTGTAGATTCTTTTAAGATTATTTCAAAATCATCATTGGAATTTCCTTGCATTTCTCTTCTCAATTCCAATCCCTAATTGACATAGTTTGACCTTACTACATAATACATACTGTATTTTTTAGGGTCAACAGTTAAGCGAAATAATAAGTTTTCGTAAAAATAAATTCGGGTTCCGATATATCTTCGTCATATTGAAAGTTTTCCAAGCCTAATAGGTGCAAAAATGGCTTTCCAAGCTCTAGAGATGTTTTTCAAAGACCTGCATTTCGATAAATCTGTGAAGGCCGGAAGCTTTAGTATCGACAAACATCGAAAAATCATGTAGTAGCCGATTTTTTTCAGAAGTTCTTTTCCAAGCCCATCAAATTGTATTTTCTTTAAGTCCGGAATCGACAAATTTCCAATCCCAGATTTTAGACAAATTATATGTCTAAAATCATGAAATCTTTTCTATATTTTAGAAATATTAAATTTTTTTCGGACTGTGAACTTACATTTTTACATAGGGGAAAAGTTGGCTTCGGCAATACCTTAACCTATTATCGTAAGGGGGGGGGGGGGTAAACAACGTCCTTGAGAGCTCAATTTTGGCATCTGGATACATTGTGTTTCAGAGCAACTATTGGCCAAATTTGAGTGCTCTAGGACTTTGTTTACCCCCCCTTGAAGATAATAGGTTAATCCATATCCATATCTTTAATATCTTTCCGATCAATAAATGTCACTATTGGCCACTTTTTTGACGTAGGACTACGTCTTTGATTTCTATATGGGGGTACACTTTGTGAAAACCGAAAATGGAACATGTAACAAATTAAGAAAGATTTTAAACGTTAATAACTCAGCTGCCTCTGGTCCAATTTCAATAATTTTATCACCAATCGATCAGAAATATGGCTACTAATTGATGACAATACTTCCGAATGTTGATTTTCAACAAGAAAGTATTGAAAAACTGGTAAATGTTCAGCATTGTCCAAAAGCGTCGAATTAACTAACCAATCCACCAATTACCTACATGCATATGCTGCTTCCCCAGCACAGTCGTCAGAGAGTAGTAAGTAGACGAAACAAGTCGAAGTGACATTCGCCTCCGATCCTCGGGCGCGTGCGAATAGGGAGGATGGAATTGCGTAATATTTGGCACACTCATCGCCATATTCAGAACCAAACGCAAATTCTTCGAGATAACCACCATCCGTCGTCTGGCTCGCCGTGGCGGTGTCCGACGTATCTCCGGTCTGATTTACGAGGTGTGCTGAAGGTGTTCCTGAAAAATGAGATCCGTGATGCTGTCACCTACACTAAACACGCCAAGCGTAAGCGGCCATGGATGTCATCTACGTTTTGAAGTGACAGAGACGCACTCTGTTTGGTTTCGGAGGTTAAATCATCACCAACTTGGCAACAAAACGGCTCTTTTCAGGGCCACCAAGCTTATTACAGTAAAGAGTAGGAATAGAATTCATCTGCTTGTTTGTCCATATTCAGAACCAACGATCACACAAAATGCTCATGTAATCAAACTGGAAGCACGGGTACAAATTATTTTGATCAACCTTGATCAACTTTGCCGAGTTATTTACGAAAGGGAGTGTCGATGACGCGAATCGATCAATGTAGATAGGACCTATTGAAAAGTGACGCGAGATTTGTTTTCCGTACTGAGCTCCAATGCTACCGACGCCAGGGAGGCAGCTCCCACACCTGGACCCTACCAATCGACCCATCAACTCAACCGAGGACCAACGGCTTTACTTCCCGAAGGCAGGCGTGATCAGAGATGTTATGCCTTAGAACATGCCGGTGGCGCCGACCAAGATTGGATTCCGGCCTGCTGGGATGAGAGGTAATCACGCTAACCACCGGCGCCGATATCTTTCAAGGTGTTTTTTTTTTTCGAAAACACGTGAAACTGTAATATAAGAAAGAATTTGGGGTCGTGATATAAACATGGACCCGGATGGCTATGGAACCGTCCTTCGGAAGATTCGGAGCATCGGTAAAATTGGTTTAACCATGAAACTGATTCTAGAGCTCAGCAGTTTTTTTAATCTCTAAGAACTGTGATATAAGAAAAAAAAAATAGGTCGGCATGTAAACATGGACCTGCATGGACATGAGACCGTCCTCTGGAACATCCTTAAAGGTGGTAAATCCATGAAACTGATCTTAGAGCTCTGCAGTTTATTTCATAAAATATTAGGAATTGTGTTATAAGAAAGAATTTGGGGTCGTGACATAAACGTGAACCTGGTTGGCCATTGGACCGTCATTCGGAAGATCCGGAACATCCGTAAAAGTGTTTCATACATGAAACTATGAATAAACCGTGATTTTCTTTTTCGAAAAGAGAAAAACCACGAAGTTCTAGAGTCAGTATCATCGATGCACCCTTTTTACGGATCTTCCGGAAGACGGTTTCATGGTCATTCGGGTCCATGTTTATGTAACGACCCCAAATTATTTCTTATATCACAGCTCCACGTGTTTTCGAAAAAAAAGTGGAACTCATGGATCAGGTTTATGGAATGACCATTTCACGGATGTTCCAGATCTTCCAGACGACGATCCCATGGCCATGCAGGAACATGTTTATTCCATGACTGCAAATTTTTATATCACAGTTCCTAATGTTTTTGAAAAAAAAAAACTTCGGAGTTCTAGGATCAGTTTCATTAGTTGACCTCTTTTCCGGATGTTCCGGACCTACCAGAGGACGGCCCCATGGCCATCCGGGTTCATGTTTATGTCATGACCCCAAATTATTTCTTATATCATAGTTCCTAATGCTTTCGAAAAAAAAAACGCGGAGTTCTAGGATCAGCTTCATGGATTGACCATTTTTAAGGATGTTCCAGATCTTCCGGAGGATGGTCCCATGGCTTTCTAGGTACATGTTTATGTAATAAACCCTAATTAATTTATATATGACATTTCCAACACTTCCAAAACTTTTACGGATTTTCCGGATCTTCCGGAAATTCTTTTGTATATCACAGTTCCTAATGTTTTCGAAAAAAAATGGCGGAGTTCTAGGATCTGGGCTTTACGGATAGACCACTTTTACCGATGTTCCGGATCTTTCGAGGACCGGTCCGTTATCTCCAGGTTCCATATATAGGAACCATGACTGTATTCTGGCTTATTATAAAGATTTGTGCCCATTAATCTAAATTATGGATCTTAAGCCACTTTTAAAACCCATAAACACACCTTTAAAAAAAAAACGTGTAACGACTCTTTTCGCTTTTGAAAAAAGTAGACGAGCCTATTTTCAATCTATTTATAATCAAAATAATGTACAGACCCTAGAAATTCTAGAGGTACCACAGTTTTTGAAATTCATCAAGAAATGGCTAAGTTATGTTATTGCAAACTTACTATTACACGTTTTTCGGAGGCTTCGTAGTCGGCGTAAAGTATTTTACCCACCGTATTCGTAGTGTTAATTTTGCCATCCATGCATAAAGATAACCATAACAATTAGATAGTTGAAATAAAAGTGCACATCATTTCAATTTCGGATTCTCCATATTATGTGGACATAGGTTAACAACTTGATACAAACCTTTCCCTAATTTCAGCACCCGCCGGTCTGGCTCTGTACATCAGCAGTGACGGTACGACCACCCTCGGCAGTCACGAAGTCAAATCCCGGATGCCAGCGGGAGTGCTGAGGCAGGTGGTAATGGAAAATCCAAGATAGTAGCAAAAGTAGACCCGACCATCACACCATGCACAGACAGCAGCGACGCCGTTGTCCACCACCATCCACCAAAATGCAATATTAGCCCGCGTAGATGCCCCTGCAGCCGCCATTGCCGTCGTATTGCGCATATGCTTCCCAGCGTTACATTTAGTGAGAGTGAAAGATGTAGAAGATAAGACGAGTCGTATGATTAAAACATCTGTGAAGTAACTGCTGTAGAATGTATTCTCTGTCACTGCTATCGGTTCGGTTTTCAGCTAGGATATGTAGATAGTACCGTTATTATGTTTTCTGTTATCAACCGTAGGAAAATCGATCGCTGAAGCAATTGCAAACTAATGAAATTATCCTTCAGTAACAGATTCATTACACTTCATTTTGATGAGTTTTTAGACAGTTAGAATTATTTATTTACCTTTGTTAAGTAGGGTTCTTTTTCGTTACGCCATCAAGTGTGTAAGCAACTGCAAAAAAAAAACGAATAAAGTTTTAAGCCTGAAATTTGATTAAAGCAACAACAAAATGAAACATGCTGTGAATTTTAGACAAGCAAATGATACACAATTTACAAACGAGTCATTCAAAACGTACACTTCCGTGAGTAATTTCCGAGGTCATTGTGAAAATATTTCACAAACATATGGGAACCTTCCGCTATTATTATTATTATTTTTTTTTTTGCGTTTCAGTATATAATTTTACTTGTAGTTTTAAAAACGTTAGCTATTTTTTCAATTCGCTCAGCTGTACTGGAAGTGAGTAAGTGGAATGGTTCGCAATAAATGGTCAGAAAAACATGTATTAATTATTTTCGTTGTGTACATACAATGTAAAGTATTTAATAACGATATTTTTTAAAAGCAAGAAACAGTATAATTAAGGTGAAATTATTGTTGTGATTTTTAGAAACTGAAAGTAAGCGCATGAAATATATTGATACAATTATAAGAGACAATGAGGAAGTGGGATACCATCTGATGGAACAGAAGTAAAATCGAACGTATGAAATTGGAAAAGCATGACATTCTTTTATCAAAGTGAAGAAAACAACGTATTTTAAACGAAAGTTAAAAAAGCAGCATGAAAACAAATTATTTTTTTCCACCCGCGAAATTAAAAATCAATACGTATATCTGACACACGCGGAGGCGTACAATTTCAAACTCTAACTGGACATAGCAGCGCAGATTAAGGTAGAAATAAACTACGTACTGCAATAGTCAAACCTTTAAAAAATAGCAAATATTCGTGAATCGTTCGACACACTAACAAAAGCGCCAGGCAAGACGAAATCAACCTGTATCACAACTAAAAGTAAACAATAATTGCAAACAATAAATCTGGAAACATGAGGCTCAATTGAAGAACGTTTCCGCAGGACTTGGTTTTTTGGTAGAGAAAATATCCCGTTATTATAGCGCGCTACTTTATGGCAAACGTGCACGTGCTATGTTATAGCATTTCATACTGCTTTTCGCTATGAAAGAGTGTGATTTCTAGAGGGCTTCCAGAGCTTAGAAACTACCATGCGTGAATATTTAGCTCTTCGGGCTACAAACCTAGGGAAGGTGTAGATGGTTTTTTTTTTAACTATTTACGGAAACTACCTACTAAGCACAACCCGCGCTTTACCTATTTTTAACGGGTTTGAACAAAAAAACGGAAAATTTCTCTCTGACTCCTAAATGTATTCACCTTTCCATACGTACCGTTGGATTTGATAAAGAGTCACAAATTAGTGAGAATGGGTACTGCTTCTTGATTCCAAATTCGTTCTACGAGTTTCAATTCCGTCCTAACGCATTATTTATTTATTTCGTCAACCAACATAGACTAGTACACATTCGAATACAGTTTTGTTTTCTTAAATTTATTTATTTATTTCGTCAACTTTGGACAAAAGGTTAAAAGTATAATTTTGTCTTTGATAAAAATTAAGCATTGTCAGCTTTCCTGTTTTTTATGAGTTATACCTTATGGAGTAAAAATATTGTTTTAGTTTATGCCGAGACATTGTAAAGTCAATGGTTTCGCAGTATTGATTGTAAGAGGCCATCATGCGGTTTAATGGCCCATATTTTGCATAATTTGTGCGATTATGTTTTATGGCAAATAAATTTCGATTTCGGAGTTGCCGAGTAGGTGCATGGAAATTTAATTTTGATAAAAGTTCTGTGGAGTCAATACGCTGCGAAACGATATCGTTTACAAATGAAACCATTGCATATTCACGACGCTCTTTTAATGTTTGTATGTTTATAAGCATGCAGCGTGCCTTCATATGATGGAAGAGGAAATGATGTCCAACCTAATTTACGAAGAGCGTATAATAGAAATTGTTTTTGTACGGATTCTAATCTTTCTTCGTGCGCCCTCCCCATGGACATGGAGGTTGACGGTACTGAAGCAAAGGGTTATGTTTAATTTCTTTATATTTGCAACGATGATGATTTCCCATAGTGACACATATCACCTTCTTAATGCTTCAGTATACCTCAAACGATTAATTCTTGGTTGTTAATAGAACTTCCTTGATGCAATCGGCTGCTTCATGCAGACTGAGCAATTCTGATTATAGTATCAGATTTGTTCTGTATACAGAGGAACTGGGAGGGCTTATTAGAAACTTCTCACCAATAAAGTAATGACCTTCTAGTAAATTTTGCATATCATTTTATTAATATTTTATTTTATTTAAGCATATTATTTTTGTTACAGTCAATTAGCATTAGCATACAATACAAGAGATTTAATATTACTTGCTCGGTTTTGCGTAAAATAATAAATATGTGATTTCAAAATTTTTCTAGTTTGGTTAGAAGTTTCGAAGCTAACACATGTCCACAGGCCTAATAGAAAGATAGACAGACAAAGCGTATCATGAAGAATAGTTGCATGCAGGGTTGCTTCCACTCACTTTCTATAGATGAGTGATTTTCGGAGTTTTGAATTCGTTAGATGTTGTACTGGGGGTTTGTGTTGTTGGATGCGGGAGGAGATTGGAGGGCGGGTGTTTGACGCATAGAGCCTGTCAATTTCGCTTTCAGAGTGTCGCAGTCAGCGGTTTTGTGATTCGTGAGCGCTCGCGATTCGTAGAATCGTTGATTGTGACTGCCGGTGGATTTGGCGGGTTTTGTGTGTCGGACGCTTGCTTTTGACGTAGGACTACGTCTGTGATTTCTATATGGGGGTACACTTTGTGAAAACCGAAAATGGAACATGTAACGTAAATTCCCAAACAGGGACGCAGCGACAGAGCGCCAATCGAACACACGACACATTTTTGCTTTGACTTCGTTCACATTCTGATTTCGACCAAGTTCCCTTCGCCGATTTCAGCTGTGAACGATTGCAAAAACAGCAAACTGATCGCAGTCACTTTGGTGCTTTGTGCTGCTTCTAACTTGGGCAGTAAAAAATAAAGTAGGGGTTATTTTCCAAGAGTCGAAGTGACTTTTTTCACTAGTGAAGTGAGAAAAGACACGTCGTGGTGACGTTACTCTCCATTTGATTTCCACAGAGAGTCACGTCACCACGACGTGACTTCTCTCACTTCACTAGTGACAAAAGTCACATCGATTCTCGCTATCGCTCATTCTGGAATTTCAATATGCAGGAATATGGGAAAATCGGCTTCTATGCAGCAGCTGTGGCATGCACAGCGCAAACAACCAAAACAAGCTAGAATGAAACATTGAAACGTCCGTCGCTGCTGTCAGAGATGCCAGATTCACAGACTTTTATTTTTTTCACAGACTTTTTTTTCGTTACAGACATTTACAGACTTTTTAGTTTTTTCACAGATATTTACAGACTTTTGAAATGAAGGGAAAAATTTAAAATTTAGTTACCTTTTTATTAATAGCTTTGAACGTATACGCGTAAATGGATGCATTCCCAACTCCAATTAGGTTTAATTCGTTAAAAGCAGGTCTGTTTTTTCCCATACCGTTTTAACCGCTTTACTACCAATCCCCAGAGCCAAAACATTAAAATTTGAAAGAGAAAATTCACTCTCAATATCTCAACATTCCATGTACTTTGATGACACTCTGTAACATTTGGTGGGGGAGGAAGGACTAACATTTGAAGTCCCTCCCATTTAGCATATTCTGCATAAAAAATACATACAAATTCAGCCTGTAAGAAAATACTATTTATCAAAAATTTCTAGGAAAAAAAAACTAAACGTTAATGAATGATTTTTGACTTATTTTCACCATAATATGCATCCAAAGCGTTCCATCCACTTTTCCAAATTTCTAACTTACTATCAATGGAACAGCGCCATCAATGATAAAAAATAGCCATGACTTGGTGAAAACTATTTTTGTAGTTCTTTAAGAAATCTATTCCAACTCTTTTTTTATATGAACTTAGTGGCCCTGAAAAGGGCCGGTTTGGTAAGATTTTCGACGGGGAAATTAAGCGCGTTCACCACGGATACGACGAGCCAGCTGGATGTCCTTTGGCATGATTGTGACACGCTTGGCGTGGATGGCACACAGGTTGGTATCTTCGAACAGACCGACCAGATAAGCCTCGCTAGCTTCCTGTAGAGCCATAACAGCTGAGCTCTGGAAGCGCAGATCGGTCTTGAAGTCCTGGGCAATTTCACGGACCAGACGCTGGAAAGGCAACTTGCGGATCAGCAGTTCGGTCGATTTCTGATAACGACGGATCTCACGCAGGGCGACGGTGCCTGGCCGGAAGCGATGAGGCTTCTTTACTCCTCCGGTGGCTGGAGCGCTTTTGCGAGCGGCCTTCGTTGCCAACTGCTTGCGAGGAGCCTTTCCTCCAGTGGACTTGCGAGCGGTCTGCTTGGTGCGAGCCATTTTCCTTTATCCGATGTTTTCACGTTGAAAGCTAACTGTGTAATAAAAAATAAAAACGACTTCCATTCTGTTTTATAACATGCGTTTGCTGTGATCAACCAATCAGAAACGATGAAAGAACAAGAATACAACAACTAACAAGAAGAATTTAACCCTCGAGTAGGTATAAAAAAGCCGAAATTTGGAATTTTTGTTCACTTTCGTCTCATCCTTCATCAACAATAAACAAACCATCTCCCCCAATGACTGGACGCGGCAAGGGAGGAAAAGGACTCGGCAAAGGAGGAGCAAAGCGTCATCGAAAAGTGCTGCGTGACAACATTCAGGGTATTACTAAACCTGCAATCCGTCGTCTGGCTCGTCGTGGTGGAGTCAAGCGAATTTCTGGGCTTATTTACGAGGAAACTAGAGGTGTGTTGAAGGTATTTTTGGAGAACGTTATCCGTGATGCTGTTACTTACACCGAACACGCTAAGAGGAAGACGGTCACCGCGATGGATGTCGTTTACGCTCTGAAGCGACAGGGACGCACTCTGTACGGTTTCGGAGGATAAATTACCCTAATAAAAAATAACCATAAACGAACGATAACCCAAATAATTGAACTTTTCCACAAATGGTTTGGACGATACCCAGAACACGTCGTTAAGCAAAATAACCATAACAATTTTATTAGGGTAGCATCATCGACTCAGACTAAAAAACCGGCCCTTTTCAGGGCCATCAAATGAATTAAAAAGGTGATTTTGATTAACTTCCTTGTCGGGATTTCAAAGGTGGTAGGGATGTGATCGAATGATGATTTTTTTCAGTTGAAGATTATTAGATTTAACCTAAGTTGGTTGTTACTGGTATGAGATCTACCACTGCTAATCCAGTACCGACAATCATTTGCATTCATTTGTTGTGTTGGGGTAAGTAGTGCGTTTCCAGTGTTCCAGTCGAAATACAAAATAATCAATAAAAACCGCCTCGGTTGTACGCGCCTTGGTCTTGGTTGGTTAATCTGA